TACCCGATTGCACATTGCTTATCACTTCCCAGGCCCCCGAGTCATGCCATCTCGCTGTTTCAAGTGAACAAACGACCATGACTCGCGTGTCACTGTTTTCTTTTCTTTTCTTTCTCATCTTCAATTCACATGCTTCCTATCCCACACACCCCCCATTCTGTTCATCCCCTCCCCCTTTGTCCCTTCTTTCATTATTAACCTATAGATATTACTGCTGATTCGGTCCCCCTCACCAAGTGCTGGAGGGCTGGGACCAGAGTGAGCCACTTGCGACTTATTGTTCAAATTAACATGGGGCCATGCAAACTGTACCTACATAATGAGATTGATGAGACAGAAGAGAAGTCGAAGAGAAGAGGAAGAAAAAGGGGGTGGTAATGAAATGGACTGAACACACACATCACACACCACAACTGGGCCCGGCGATTCGCGGTTGGGGCACCCACATTAGCGATTATAATTAGATGACTGTTAATATTCTTTTCATGAAAATTTTTGATATTTACCACTTGATCCTCGTGATGCATTTCCTAATGATGTCTTTTTCTTATAGTAGTAGTAGTAGTCATGTAGATGAAGAGATATCGTGTCAACTGCTCGATTATGGTCTATGCTGGTACTAGTGAACAAAGACAATTGATCTATCTATCGATGATGAAATCTAACGACAGTAGCAGTATGTATATGTATGCCAAAGCATGCTCTACTACATCTTCATCCCAGAGCAATATAGAGCAAAAGCAGAGGTCCATATATGCCGTTGCTGTATGTATGCATCTAGTAAGTATTGATGGATGAAAGAGAATGCCATGTATAATCCAGGTGAATCCAAGACCCGTCCCCGAAACAAAAAAATAACCAAAAGCGCCGCCCAAAGAGACCATCCTGTAAGCAAATGCTATGTATGCTCGGCTAAGAATCAAGTCTTCGTCTTGGTGAAGAATATCTGAAATGAAGAATGAAGAACTCCAGTTCAACTGCCGCAGGTGATCGCTAACGCCAAATAAGCAGCCAGTAGAAAGGTATGAAAGAAAAACAAGGTCTATTCCCGGTGTATGGGGATAGGAAGCCATAAAGTCGTAATGATAAATCATGTTCGCCTGTTGGATGCAGGTGCCTGACCTGAGTTGTGTCGGGTACCGGTATGCAGAAACCAAGAAAATAGCGACAAGTAGGGCATAGTAATACAGAATGAAATCATAATCAAACTGTACCGTATCTCTCCCGCTCATTCTGCAGGAGAGATTGGTTCTCTTCTGAAGAGACAGGAGCATCAGAGCGAAGTCGTCGCGCAGGGGACACTGAAGGGATCCAGCCCCTCATCCAGCCCCGAACGCGGGTCCAACGACTACGTCCGTCTTTGGGGTCTTCAACTTGCATGATAGACTCGTCATCCCGGGTTCCGTACATGAGGAACTGCACGCCCATGAGACCGTCAAAGGCTAGCACACCGAAGGCGCCCAGGAAGAAGGGAGTAGCCCGGGAGACCCATTCAAGGCGGTCGTTGCCATCTGCGTCGGCCCAGCCACCACCGCCATAGGCAGGGAAGTCATACCAGGCGTTGGGATTGGTTAGAAGGGAGGCGGAGTAAAAGAGGTTCCCGCAGAAGGCAGCCATGAATAGTAATGGGGAAAGGCCTGATGTACTCTTCCGGCAGTAGTTCTTGTATAGTTGCGGCGGCCGCGAGCCAAGGTAGAGGAATGTTGACATCCAGGAGATGATCCGGCCGAGGATCTCGAGAGTCTTCTGTGAGGATTCGGAAGTTGTTTGCGGCTCTGTCGGGGCAGCGTTGGCCACCACGGCGCAAAGCATTGATGCAAGCAGCAGAGTACGTGGTGACCCAATTGGGAGGCTGGGGCCACTACTGGATCGGGTAATCGAGCGCTTAGAAGAGCTCAATTTCTCATTGGAGTAAGATGGAGATTGCCCGTTGGAAGTTGGCACGGCAGGCTCCTTCATATCTTTCACATCTTTGGGATTTGACGGTAAGGGAGACTCGGTAGAACGAGAGGCGTGATCGGAAGAGCCGTTGTCAGAGAACGAGACGCCTTCCAAGACACTACCCGGGGGCTGACCATATTCCGAATGAGAGAGGGCACCGTAGCCATCATACTGTCCTTTGTAGTGTGTGTACCAGAAGTATTGAAAGACCAAAGTCACGTCAACGCAGACATAGTAAGCAGCCACGATGACCTGCCAGCCAGCCTGCCGGGTGAGCAGGGCACCGAGAAGATTACTAGTATCACCCAAACACCACTCCACGAGAAAGAACAGCGACAAGCCAGCCGTCGACTGAATCTGGTAATTCTTGTATATTTGTGGGAGCTGGGCGAAGAGCCAGGACACGATGCTGAGGGTTCCGAGAACGGAGGAGACGAAGGCTAACGGTGTGGGGAGGCAGATGTGGAGGTAGGAGGACACGGCCGCGAGGAAGGGGGTTGTCGGTTCACAGTGTTGCGGGAGCACTGCATGAATCTGTTGTAAGAGAGGAGGAGGCATGGCTATTGCTTGTGTCGGGAGTCTAATATCTGTGTGTGACCCGGAGAGACAGTAGAAGTATCTTGGTTGTTGCAAGTATAGGGCGTGTCTCTGTAGCGGTATGAAGGAACGCTAGATAAGGGCGATAAGACGAACAAAGCGAAGAAGCCCGACAATATAGTTGGTGGTGGGCAATCCCGTGAGCAGCGAGAAGAAAGACGGGGGGAAGGATATGAGAGAAGATGAAGAAGGAAGAAGAGAGAGAGAAAGAGAGAGAGAGGAAGGAGAGGGAGGTGAAGGCATGCGCGACAAGGGAAGGGAGTCAGTCAGTTCAGTCAGTCACACTTGGCGGCCTCGAGATCGAGTCACGAGTTGATTTCTGGGGCTGAGGATGGAGGATGATCCCTATCGCCGCCTGCTGATTGGCTTTCCCCCAGAGGCAAAGGGGACTCGGAATGGAGCGGACTCCGTTCGGCAACAATTGGGTGAATTTACACTAATTTGGAACTATCTTGACTAACTCCAATCAATAATCCTCATCTTCATTCCGGATCTGCTGGTCTATCCGCATTGGCATCATTGCAGATAATGGGTGATGACTCTCTCTCTCAGCTCGCTCTTCTCCCCCTCTTTCCGGTAATCATACCCCCTTTCAAACCCCGGAATTATCCTCTAGTCTGCCTACTTCTGCGCTTCGGTCGGCTATTCACATTCCCACTGCATTCATCGCCCAAACTCTCCGAGATTAAGTCAGACTGAGCGTGGGGTGACACGGACAATACTGAATGATTGCCGAACGGAAGAGACCATGATAGACTTTTTTTACTCCGAATCACAGTTTTGCCTTCATCCCATGGATGCAAAGACGCCTTTCCAAGGCAGAGCCCGAGACTTCCCAGACCCGCCCAAGACAATCCCCGGTCAAGATCACGGCTGCCCCGGAGTCCTGACCCACACGGTTTATTGAAGGTTAAATCCAGGCAAAAGCACAGACAGCACCAAGCTCCTACTACGATAGGCTGCTCGTTCAGATTTCGAGCAATACGTACTTCACTGCCACCTCTGTTGAGACATACATGGCTTGGGTTGACGTATGGCCTATCTCGGCCTGCATCTTGTCTCGGAGATATCAGGGATGTTTTCGGTAAGGACCGCAAAGGGACACTAACATAGCAGAGGGCAAGTGAAGCCTTATGTAACTGGACTTTGTCATTATGATTGCCAAGCAGACAAATAGAAGGACTAACGGTGAGAGATATGGATCTGGAGCATATCGGTCCTCCGTTCGTAGATCCGCTAGCATCTCCCCTACCGGCTGATTAGACGCTTATCTCCACGATAACCTCCAGCCCACGCTATTTTTTTAGAGATACTCATGATCATCTGACTTCCATCTATCTTCAGTCAGCTTGAAAATAATCTCAAAGTGCACACCATCGCTCAATAAACCTCAATGGAAAACATGCACGCGATCAACTACTCAAAATCTCCAAAAACCCGCCTCACCGCCTCTAATCACGATCTTACGATCGAGGCGCGTAACCAGGATGTGGATGGCACTAAAACATGCAGGTACAAGGGTCCCTTTCGTCTTGGTGATAAGACCCTGAACTGTCGCCATATGTTAACACCCGTCATAATGTCAATCATGAAATCTGTAAATAATGATCAAATTAGCAGACTTAACTGTACTACACTCATTCTTTACCATGCCAGTTCACATCACTCTAACTATCACCAAACCCAACAAACAGAGATAACTACCACCGCAAGACGTCAGAACTATAACACGCCTTCATATACCCTCATCACCACAACTAACCTACCATAAACCCAATAACAGCCATCCTAAAATAATCTGTAGATCGCACAATCCCGCCATCAAGTCACACCATCCCAAGTAGCCATCCAAGATAGACACTCAACCAAAGCACATTCACCAACACCTATCCACCCCCTCCACAATCCACCATAGACCATCTAGAACCCATCCATCTACCCCTCTCATTCACCTTTCATCGCGTCCAACGCGTCACGAACCACCTCTCCCATTGGCCAACACCCCGAAAGTGGATATTGGCGATTCTTTTGACATCTAGGATGATTCGAGGATATGATTGGTTTCTTGGGTGGTTGAAGAGTTGTGGACATGTTTCTGGTGGGTGAGAGCTAGCTCAATTGGGGTAAGTGGGATGGGGGAATGTAGAGATAAGATGATCTGATATTGATTCATTTGTTTGGGTGGGGTCAGTTGGGTAAGGTTCTATTGGTTGTGTATGGTAGGATGGGATGCCTATGGAGAGGGTTACTTGTATCTTGGGGAATACTATGGGTACTAAGTATATCAACTGAATAAATGACTGTCTATATAGCTAGTAATCCATGAACAGTAAGTAGAAGTGAACAGATACAAAGAGGGTATCGACATCCAACATAAACATCAAGATCACTCACTGCACAAGAACATAATCAATCATAACCCATAACCCATAACTTCATAACTCATAACTCATAATACCACCCTACCACTCCTCCTCCTCCTCATACCGACTCCGACTCCGACTCCGATGCCCATGTCCATGACCATGATGATGGTGATGGTGGTGGTGGTGATGATGACCATGTCCATGACTCGACGACCGCCGATAATGACTACTATGATACCTCGTATACTCCGTCTCGCGATCATCATCAACCTCCACTTCCTCCACCTCTTCATCACTATCACTCTTCTTCATCTTATTACTAACGAAGTTCCCCAAAATCGCACCCCCAACCGCCCCCAGAAGTCCATGGTCTTTCTTATGTCCCAGATAATACCCCGTCGCGCCGCCCAGGACAGCTCCGCCGAGGCTGCGCTCTCCTTCTTCGTCACCAGCGGTGGTAGGATCATCAACGTAGGCGCGGGATTGCTGTTCGGTATCCGGGGCTGGAGGCGCAGGAGGAGCAGGAGGAGGGGCTTGCATATCTGCGGCGGATTGGGCACTGTATGTCCCTCACTGTGTTAGTAACACATAACCATGTACACTATACACAGAACGAAGTGTATATAAAGAATGCGGCAGAGGTATGGGAACAGACTAATACTCAGCATTACTCCCTCTCCGAACAGGCGGTTCGTAACCCGGTGCTAGACGATCGGGATCATACTGCGGAATAGCAGCATTAAACTCATTATTGATGTTGCTAACATTGGTGTTGCTACTAGCAGCCTGCGGATTCCATTGTGTCGGATAAGACCGAGGAATCTGGCTCACGTCGTACTGAGAACTATAAGCAGGATCTTGATTCGGCAGTGCATGCTGGTTGTAGAAATGTTGCGGTTCGTAGTCGTATCCTGCGTGTTGGTAGACGCCGTCCGGGGGAGAGTAGTACGGAGTCTCGCTGTTTGGGACGGGAGGGGGGTAGGATGGTGGTGGTGGTTGGTGCTGGGGGTAGGGGTCGGTCATTTTGGGAAGTATGGAATTTTCGATGGATGGAATAGGTTATTGTTGATCTGACCTGGTTTGGGAATTAATCTATGGTAGGGAATGTTGGTATGCATGTATGCAGTTGCAGTTGAAATGACTGTTATATTCGGATAGTATATGGATGTCTTGTGAAGATGATCAGCTGGGGCTTGCTGCGGGTCTGCGTGGTGAGGGACTGGCGGCTGACGGGGGTGGGTGCAGGTGACCGTGCCGCACGACTCAGCCTCGCGAACACATACGAACTGATGACTCGGACTTGGCGACAGGGTGGCCTGTTTTTACGCGGTCGGGCCGGGCTTGTTTGCTCTGGCTGAAGTGGAGCGCTCCTACAGGGCTATTGTCTTCGTAATATTCTTGATGTTGCGTGATCTATCACGTAGGTTCACCAACAAAGCGGTGTGCTTGGATGAATGCAATAGTTGATTGATGGAATAACGAACATGTAGATCTAACATCACTTCATGAAAAGTCGGGGAAAAGAGCACGAGGTAGTGGAGGCATGTAGTTAGGGGTATCCCAGCAACTGTAGAAGGTGGGCTTCAAGACAGAAAACATACAAGCAATGAGAAATGAGACGGCTCGCAACACTAAAGGACTGAAGCATACAAAGTAGAAAGTCAGAGCGAAATCAAGGTCAGATATGACCGATCACCACCCGTCGGGATGAATGGGTCGCGCTATGCAAGTGACAGCGCAGGTATGATCAAGTCCCCGAATGAGAGACGGATTGAAAGAGGGACCATAACATAGGCCAACCAAGTTCATGCGTCCAGCACATTGTTAGCCCCTGGCGAACAGAATGACCAGTCCTCTTGGAATTTGCGCGAATAACCGGAGTTGCAGATGTGACCAGTCTAGTGTACACCAAGTACCCGAGTCTAAAGACCTGCTTATTTGCTCGCCGCACTCCGCGTCCTCCGGCCTACCCACTCAGCGAGCATCGCATCCAGCTGGCTGGTCATCTCCCTTAGCCTCTTACTCTCTTCCTTGAAGAGACAGCCAGTAATCGGGTGGTCAGGACCGGCAGGCGGGATGTTAGAGTTATCGTGGACAATGATAAATAGATCGCGGATGTCGTTCTCGTCATCCAAGTACGACCGCAAGCTAGCATCGCTCCAAGTCGGTGTTCCAGCAGACGCAGTCTCAAACGACGCAGGTACGGCGTCGATGCCTCTGTGATCGCTGTCACCAGCAATAGGAGATAAAGGCGGGGACACCGATGAGACCGAGTGTCTCCCAGGGGATGGCAGGCCTGCCACCAATCCTGGTGTAAGAGGTGAAACCGGCCCTTCCAGCGGAGAACCGCTGAGGGGTGAGTCTAGACGCTGGGGTTGGTAGTTCAACACCTGCTTCGGCGGGAATCTCTGTGGAGGAGACGCCACAGAACGTTGTTGAGAATAAGTGTTCTCAGACACATCCTCCTCCCAGGATTTCTGGATGTCAGTGGACGGGTGTTCCTGGTGATCGAGTGGAGTCAAAGCCGGCTTCTTTGAGGGACTTGGCACACGGGCAGAAGACAACATAGCTTCCTGGCTGTCATCGAAAGGCCCCAGGGGAGGAGATGATGGGATATCGTCATCCTCTTCCGATGTTACTTGTCGGATGGTTTGATCCTTCGAACTCATAATTGGCCGCGGCTCTTCTCTAGCATCGATGGGACTTTGAAGACCAGATTCCTGGATTAAGTCTTGCCTAATTGGAGACATAGCCGAAGGGGGTTGCTTCTGCAACTTGCTGGTCTGTCTCTGCACCACCAAGGGTTTAGGCGATCGAGCAGATTCGGGAGAGGACAAAGAATCCGACGATGTCTTCGGTTGTGGGGACGTCCGAGACAGCTCCGTTGAGGTCTTTTCCGCTTCATCCGTGTCCTCATCGTTAGACTTGGTCTTTTTGTCCTTCCTTTTGAACAGACCGCTGAGCATTCCTGGCTTCTTGTCTTTGCGTTTTTTGTCATCCTTGTTCTTGTCAATAGCGCTGAGCGCCTTGTCGATCGCCTCCATGCTGCCGCGACTCTGCTGACTGATTAGTTTCCACAAAGGCAGAGGTGGTGAAATATATGCTTACCTCTTTCGCCTCACCGGATGAGTTCTCATCTCGAAGCAGGTTGGGTGTCAGAGAGATCTTCTTAGTTTCAACAGTATCGTCCTTGAAAAAGGAGTCTGTATTCCGCACAGTGCCATTTCTGGACCTGCTGACAGCATTGTCCGCTGGAGACTGTTAGCTTCCATTCTGTTATCTCTGGAGAATGTCCTCACCTTCCGTTTCGAATATTTCCTGGCTGGACCGCTGTTTGTCGAGACCAGCGCTGTCAGGCTCTTGCACTTCCTGAATGTCGTCTTCTTCGAATCCTCTATCCTTCGACTTGGGCCTGAGAGGCTTGACGACAATGTCTTCATTTTGACCATCCTGTAAGTGATCCGCATCTTCCCGGGCCATATCTTCGTCTTGGAAAGACATATCGTCGTCCATTTCCTCTTCGGTTGAGTATTCTACATCAGATGCCTCGATGTAAGTTGGGCTTGTGAAAGTAACGGTCTTCGCATTTCTGCGGCGCATTGCTTTCTTCAGCGGATTCTTGGACTTTTCCGAATTGTCGCCAAGCATGGTTGCGGACAACTGATAACGTTAGAAAAGACCATATGATCGAACAATCAGCACTTACATCTACGTTTCTGTGTTTATTCAATCTCGCCAACCTCTCCGTGGGCGTCTCAATGTGTTCGGCTGGCAAGTAACCTGACGGATAATTAGCTGAAGTCGTGTAACATCGAGGGGTAACCTACCAATACTGCCATCCTTCACGATCCTAACAAGCCACCAGTAGCTGTTGCTATCGTCCAAGAGAACCATAGTATCACCCTTCGCCGCATTTGCTTGTCCGTCAACGGTGGCAAAAAAGTTGTGAAGGGCATAAACAAATTCAAAATCGATGTCCTCTGGTCAGGGTCAGTCATGGTCCAGAGCTAGACGGCTGAGGGAAAATGAGATGTTTGGATCCAGGCGGATTGTGTGACACGCGATGTCTGCGTATTTCCCGAAAGGACCAAAAGAGTCGGAACGCACCGTCATCAATCGATGGAGAGCTTGAGATCTTGTCCATGAGATCGTCGTCCATCATGTCGTCGCTTTCCCCATCCGCAAGATCGCCTTCTTCGGAACCCCCAGAATCACCCTTGTGATGATGATGGTGTCCCAGTTCGTCCACTTCCTCAATATCATCATCGTCATCGTATATATCAATCCCATCGCCGTATCCAGCTTCCGGATGGCCGTCTTCGGCGCCGGGACCGTGCATCATTTCGGATTTAATATCCTCGTCCGCATGGCGAAGGGTTTGCTCCTGGTGAGGAGCGACTCCAGATGAGTGAGTAGGTTGCCGCGTGTGATCTTTAGCTGAAGGAGCGTTGTGGTCTTGGAGGTCAAGGGTGTCTATCATAACATAATCCGGGTCAGCAAGGGCGGAGACGGTATACGGATCGGCAGCCATGTGCTGGGAGTAGACGTACCAGCCCGTACAATCCGTGGCCTCGCCATGTTTGCTACGTTTCTAAGCAGTCACAACTATGATTTGAAGGGAGCGTTTCTCAGGATTTCCGCACGAAGGCACGACTTATGGGATCACGGGCATTGGAACCACGTGGTAACGCAACTGGCCGCTGCCCGACGTCCGGGTGGGAACGGTAAGGGAGTGTGAAGATATATTGGAAAATCGGAAAAGGAGCGAATTCCACTGGAAATTCTAGCTGCGATGGATGTATCGACGCGAAAGAAGGAAGGAAACGCCAGGAACAGCAACGGCGGGGGTGGGTACTTGGGCGTCCGACCAGGCGACGAGGGTTCAGGCAACAAGGCGAAAGAAAGACTTCCAGAGTGACGCAAAGACGAAAGCAAAAGCGAACAATAGAAAACGATAGCCAAAAACGCCGATGTTTTGGAGAAGTGAAGCTGGAGCCCAGAACCGAGTCAAGAAACCAAAGGCCGGACGAGTTCCCCGGACTTTCTGGATTGTTTGAGACAGTCCCGAAAAAAGGAGGTCTCCAAACTGGTTGCTCCAAACAAGCGCCCCTTGCGCGCGCTTATCCACTTCCTACCAAAGAACGGCGCTCAGGGCCCGTGCCTGGCCCTGCAGCTGACTGGCCACGCGCCGATGCCGTCTTAGGTAAGTGCGTCTAACCTGAAGGGGTTAACAAGATGGGGTAGCTGAGGTAAGATGGCTCTTGAGTAGGGCTCAGGGCATAGGGCCAGGGCGGCAACATCAGGTGATGGGGGCGCGATGGGCGAATTGGCAGGTGATTAAGTGTTTCTGGAGTCACGGCGGCCTCTGACTGGCGGTGGATGGTCGATCCCTCCGTCATGAACGACGCCGTGTACCACCTAATCCGCACTGCTGATTGGCCCAGGCTGTCCCCCACTTACGTCTGCTGCTCCGACCCTTCAATGGAACCCTTCAATTCAGCTCCGTCATCACCCGATATTGCCCTTCGTTCTCCATTTTCGTCCCTGGTGTCAGACAATTTTTCCTTCTTTCTTCCCTCCACAGCTGCCTAGAAGCACGCCGTTTGTTTTCCTTCTTCTGCCTAACTCCTTTTCACTGCCCTATCATCCCTAGTATATTACTTTGTTCTATTTTAGTGTGTTTTCTCCATCTGACTCACTGCACTTTTGAGTTTAGCTCCGCTGTGGGATCGGGACCCTCCGATAAGTAGTAGCATTACGGAGTCGATAAGATTACAAACGGTCTCTCCCGCCCATTCCTCCTTCTACTCCTACTCCTCTTACTATTCATTCACTCCCCCTCTTCCTTATCTTCATGTGCAAGCTTCGAGTCATCCGCAAACCCCACGACAGTTAGATCGTGGCCGTCTGATCCTTGACGCCCTTGGATATTACTTTGCTCTCTCTCCGAGGGCATGGCTCAGACTGGGAGGAACAACGGGTTGGTTGGGTTGAAGCTAGAGACATCCTTTCACCATTCGCCGAGACCCCGGTGGCGGGGTGATGATGGAGGCAGAAGAGCGTCGGATCAGGGAGACGGTATCGAGGGCGATCGTACAAACATCTTTCACGATTATCACGCACCCCGTTGCGGTACTGATGAAGACAACAGTGCTTTGAGTGGTCTGCACTCAGCGACACCCCCCATCTCCGTTCCCCGTCATGATGATTATCCCAAGCAAGATGTCACCTTTCCTCACAAGCCAGAGGATGTCCAAGCATCATCTCCGCTCGACAGCTTTCTTCAAGAACGCCGCCCTTCCATCAGCTTTGACGCCGCCCTTGACTCTGGCCGACGCCGACCACTAGAGAATCCCTCCTCTCCAAGAGGAGACGTGAGGAGCCGCACTCAACGGTTCCAAGCAAAGAGTTCGAGCTTGAAGAATTCTTTGCCTCTGGAAGATGATGCTGACCACAACGGAAGACAGGTGGGACTCAGTTCTAGCCTCAGGAGGCAGCAGGAACGACGAGCCATCCCTACCGGGATTGCTCGCGACAGCTTCCCCGAAGAAAACGGTGCTATCCCATCTGATTATGAGCATCCTACTTCTCTCACGTCTCTATCTACTGCGTCTCCTATCACGGAGGAGCTGCGAACCCCTCCAGAAGGGTCCCGGGGCATGTTATCGTCTCCCATCTGCGTGGCCTCGCCTATGCAGACGTTCGCCTCGCTTGATGATCGCAGCTCCTGGTCAGGCAGTGTCATGACTCCTTTCGGAAGTAAGGCACGAGGCCTTCGCGTCTCAACCCGCCAGCGGTCTCGCAGGTCCACTGCCTCGAGCGGCAAATCTCCAGCCAGCATGTTTCTGTCCATGTGGAGCGCGGGTGGTGACGAGCCGGCCCCTCAGCCAGATGATGAGGGACAAATGGTCGGTACTGAGTATGTCCTTGGCAAGCAGATAGGATTTGGTGGCTTTAGCACAGTGAAAGAGGCCTATAAGGTCGAGGAAAGTGGCAAGACAAAACGGCTTGCCGTCAAGATTGTCAAGAAACAAGTTTCTGGACGGAGTGAGAAGGAAAATGACGAGGTTCAAGCGGAGTTCGACCACGAAGTGCGAGTTTGGCGATATTTAAGCCATCCGAACGTACTGACGTTGGACGCGGTTTACGAGACCGACTACGCTACTTTCTGCTTCACAAAACTGGCTATCGGCGGCACCCTCTTCGATCTCGTGCGGCAGAACCGCCGCGGGTTGGAGATGACACTAGCCAAAAAGTATGCGTATCAGCTCGCGTGTGCCTTGAGATACCTCCACGAGGATGCTCGAGTTGTTCATAGGGACATAAAGCTGGAGAACTGCTTGTTGGATCCTACTGAGTCCCCTGATGGGACGAAGACATCTACGCTCGTTCTTTGCGATTTCGGGATGGCAGAGTGGATGAACTCGGACAATGAGGACGCATCACCTGATCCTTACGATAACGCCGCCGACCGTCCCCCGCCTAAGACCATCGGCCCTGCTGGTTCCAGTACCAGCGTTGCGGGAAGCTTAGAGTACGCTTCCCCAGAACTCCTATCATCGACTAATGGAGTTATCGATCCTTCGGTGGACATGTGGGCATTTGGCGTCATCGTGTTCACGATTGTCGTCGGATCACGACCATTCCAAGATGCCTTTGCTCCGCGGATCCAATCAAATATACTCAGTGGGAATTGGAATAAGCATGCTGTGGTGGGTGAAGAAGCGGATCCCCAGCTTCGCCAAGACAGAGAAGATGCACTGGAATTGATAATGGGCTGCTTGAATATGAACGTTGATAAACGGTGGTCGATCCGCGACGTGCTGTGCTCCCGCTGGTTGCGGGAATTCATGGATAATGCAGAGAGCCCTACGGAGTCGGCATGGAAGCTGTAAAGGGCTTCATTCGTTGCAGTGCCTCAACGCATTATATTCTTTCTTTCTTCCCAGTCTATCTGATTACTTCTACGAAAGAACTGGGAATGTTGCTTTACGAACGACCGATGATCATGACTGGCGCTTTATGATACTGACGAGCGCTGGTGTTTCCGGAATGTTGATCATCTATGATACCCTCTTTTCAATGTTGGCAGCGTTCTAATATTTTGAGTTTGAAATTTTTTGCTTTAGCGCATTTCGGTATACCTCTCTACTTTGTGTTCTTTGTTTCAGGCATTTCAAATCGCGGTCGGGACATTCTTTGGGCAAGAAGAGGGTCTGGTTTTGGTTTGGTATCGCATCTTCTTTGACTTCACCTTCCACTTGAAACAAATCGCTTCTTCTCCTGGTGACAAGGCATGGCGTTGTTTCTTTTTCAGCGGTGAGGGTGTGCGAACAAAACGTGTCATTTCTTTTTTTCCTTATATCATCTGTATTACCTGCCTATATCCGGACGGTCTTCTTGCTTGCTGAGAGGTTCTCTGGCTTTTTGGTGTGTCCAGTCTCTTCTCTTTTCTCAGGGCATTTGCTTTCTTGACATATGAGCGGCATTCTGCTACTATGAATGAAATGAACAAATGGTGGTGGGAGAGGGACTTGTATCTAGCTGAGATTTCAATCCACTCGTAGCTAAACCTATGACCCTGATTAAGGTAGACGTCTGTAAGAAGGATCAACATATGTAATAAGAGATTGAAGAGTAAGTCAAGCCTAAATGTAATGAAACATATCCACAAGCATAACATAACATACAAGCATATTTATACAAGAGATAATAAACCAACTGAAAGCACTCAACAAAACGAAACCACAACATCATCTATACCTACACCCACAGATCACACACCCCCGTAAGGGGATCACCAAAGCCTATTCTCAGGCAAGACCTTCTCCTTCCTAACACCAGCAGCCGACTTCCTCTCCACAGGCGACCTAAAGAACAAACTCGGTCCCTCCATCGGCTTCAACAAATGACTCAAGTACCCCCTATGCGCAGGATCCCTATAATACTCAATATCCCTTCTCTTAGTCGGATCCGGCAATCTATACGAATACCCCATCTCCTTCATAACCTTCGACTCAGTAAGGGCTTCCCCATCCTCCGCAACCGCCAACGCCTCACTCCCACTCTCCTTCGTCCAAGCCAAGGACACAAACGGATGCATCTCGCGCTTCATGATCCTTGCAATAGCAGACTTGGTATAGAATCTCGTCGTGACGGATCCACCCGCCGCCTCGACAGCCGCGATCGCAGGCGCAGACGCCCTCGACACAACGATATGAATCGGCTGCTTGAGCACACTGTCGACGGGAACCTCGTGGTCATCCTTCTCCACGCCCCGGCCCAGAAGCTTCACGCCCTCTTTGGTCTGGTGGATGCAGCGGGATTGGGCGAGTTCGCGGACCGTGATCGGGCGGGTTGGGTCGATGCGGCCTTGGTCGATCCAGGATTGGATTCGGTCGAGGTTCACGGGGGCGAGGTCGATTGAATGCCTGTACCATTATTATCATCATTAGCATATATGTCTATTTCTCTTTATCTATCACGTAGTGATAGAACCTTCCAATTGGGAAGGATAAGGAGAAGGACGACGTACACATTATTAAACCCCCTCTCACCATGCACCACAATCTCAGGCGTCTGACCACCATTAAACCCAGCGGGGACTTTTCCATGCTGCTTCTGACCCTTGTGACCTCTTCCAGACGTTTTACCTTTTCCGGACGCAGGACCCCGACCTCTTCTGATGCGCTTGTTGTAGGCGCCCTGCGTATCGGAGAGCGAGGCGAGGATGTGCGCGTTCCGGCTTTGTTGGTGGATAGGAATAGCTGCTTGGGGGAGGAGGAAGGCGGAGAGGAGGTTCGTTGTTGTAGTGGCCATTGGCCGCTGCCATTGGAAGGGCAGCAATTGGAGCCGGGGTGGCATGGTGCGGTGCGTTGCTTGTGATGGGGTTGGTGGTGGTGGTGTTGATGGTTTTGAGGTTCTTCCGCGGACAAAGATCTTTCGTTTTCGGGGAGAGAGAGGAGGGTTGGGTTGATGCCTGAGGTGTGTATGGGATGGGTCGGTCGGGTCGGAGCGGAGGATTGGTCGGGCCGGGGACGTTGGTATTCATTAGGTACACAACATTTATTACTATAGGTGTTACTTTGTTTGTAGGGGGAAAAGGGATGATAAGTGACTAGGTTCTAGGTTCATAGTGAGTGATTTTTTGTGTAAGTGTGATTTATGGAGATATGGATATGTCTGGTATGGAGACTGATGGTCAGTATTTCTCTGGTTATGCTACTAAGACCTGACGGACTATATCTCACCGCTTAATTTGTCCGTAAGAATTTGTTAGACGGAAGCGGTGAAATCAAGTCTTTAGTATTTGTTCTCTACTAGAGGCCTACTACTGATCAAAAAGTAATGTGTGTAAGTTTTATATATTGAATATATTGAGCAGGCCTGGCCCGCTAGATCGATCTGTCGAACGATCTATAATGCAATGCAAGTAGACGTCAGTTAAACGTACAGGTACCACGCCATACCCATGCTTCGATAAATCAATCAGAATCCCTCCCATGGCCAAGTATGCAAACATATCCTTCCAAGTACAAAGGCCATCTATAAATGCCAACGCCGTCATAATGCTAGGTCATAACACAGAGTGAAGAAAGTTTTGTACAATATACACAAGGGGGCAAACATGACCGACAAGTGTGCGAGACAAGCAAATGAGAGAAAAGAATGCGAGCTTCTTCTCGTAAATCGTCGTAAAATCTAGTCGTAAAAAGTGTCTTTCGATAACGGCAAGTCATCTAATAGTTTGGGGTGGTGTGGAAAATCGGTTGCGGAAAGTGCCCATGCGGCCAAGCCTCAGGGTGCGAATATGGCAGCAAGCCCGTCTTGCGCTCAGACTTGCCAAGCGGCTGGTAGTGCATGTGCTCGAACGGGATGCGCTGCTGCTGCATAGACGTCGACGGGGGCGGGATCAACAAGGTGTTGACACTGCGAACCGGTCGGTAAGGCGAGTTTCGGTTTGCCAGGAAGAAGGTAGGAGAGAGGTGGTTTTGAGGAGTGTGAACGGAGTATGCAGAAACTGCGGGCGAGATTGTGCCCGATGTCATTGCAAACGGGCTGTTGTGGTGTCTGCTGGGGTCGGGCAGTGAGATGGATGTGTTGTACATTCCGTTGGCCACAGGCCCAACGGCAGTAGCAGGAACCGACGTCGCAGGTGGCATCTGCGGAACCCAGTTCGCAGAAGGGTTGTAGACCGGGGGCATGACTCGACCGGAAGGGGGAAGTTGAGACAAAGACGCCGGCATGGTAGGGGGAAGGCTGTGAGATGGGAAGTTGGGACGGGGGAGTCGCGAGACCGGTTCGGACATAGCCGGGAGGTGAGGGGGAACACCGGAGGACGCCAGAACCGGAGGCAAGGTCGGGATGCTCGTGAGAGCTGATGATGGTGGAAGTGATGGCATTGAGGTGAGCATGTTGCTTGGCATGGCTGTCCTCTTCGCTGGTGGTTCCTCCAGTGGCTCCTCACGGGACCGCTTCCGAGAGCTGGTGGCCGGTGGCAAGTCGCTCGGGAGCTGAGGTGCGCCAGAGTATGGCACGGCATTCATAGGCATAGCCCAGGACTGCGAACGGAGAGGATCGGATGCGGGAGGCGATGGCAACTTTGTCGAAGGTGACGGCAACTGTGCCCGAGGAGATGGCCCCAAAGTGGGCGAGACATTGAGGACTGGCGGAGTATGGTGTTTCTCGTTCTTTTCGGAGGCTCGAGGTGCTTTGTTGAAGTAGTCCGTGAAAAGCCCGAGTTTGACGTGCCACTCATTCCATTCCTCTTTGGACACGAACAGGTTATAGCGAATGTTGCTGAGGAACTCCACCTCCATGATGTGGATCTCTTGGACTGTGATCCCAGAGACCTCTGCCCATGTCTTGTTGGTGTATGTGTTATCGTCGAGGACTAGACTCCGTCAGCTCTCTGTCCATAACCATTTCACGAGGGAGTGACATACATTTGTTGCCCAGCATGAGCGCAATGGTCATCAGCCGATACTCACTGCCTTTCTTTCCCCGCACACCAGGGTTGAACTTCTTCAACCGGTAGACGAAGAGCAGTGCCAGTAAAATGACATTCTGGCTAACCTGCGTAGTTGACAAGATGTTTGTCACCCACTTCTGGAACGCAACAGCGGGAACTGCTTCTGGTGCAAGCGATGTGGCCGGGTTGAGGCGGTCCTCCACGGCCTTCAGTTTCGCGGTACTTTCGAACCAGAAAAGGCACGTCATCTACTGCCCAGTCAGCATCCTAGATCCAGGATGGATAGAAGAACCCAGCTTACCTGTGCAGCAAATTCAGCCAGGCTGCCTTTGCTGTTGCTGATAGACGAAGGAATCTGGAGATACGACGCAACACCATTGGAGCTACTTTTCTTCTGAGACTCTCGTTCGGAGGTCATGGTATCCTTGGCCGGCGCTTGGTATTTTGGCTGGGACGAAGAGACCGCTCCGTTCGATACATCAGAAGACATGCGCGTATAATCAGACACCTTAGAATAGGGTGGAAGCTGATATCCATCGAGCTTGCCGCCATAAGAAGACGCCGGCAGAGCACTGCAAGCAGTGACGCTATTCATATCGTTCGGAGGGGTAGGTAGACCGTCCCTGAAGGGAGCAGTCCAGGTGTAATCGGGAACTTCTGAAATAGCCTCAAGAGGTCGTTTCCTTGCGCTGAGCGAGCCTTCAGTCCGCGAGGAAGGAGCTATAGTAGGAGTGATCGGGTGGAGGGCGGGGAGATACGGCTTCGTTGAGAGGATCGGGAGAGACATATGGGTGGTATTTAAGGATGGCGTCAGGATTGAAGCAGTTGGATCGAGGATGGAGATGTAAAGGTAACACCCTTGTCAGAGAGCTCGCATTGGACTGGCTCCTGACCAAGCTGGTGTTATTCTTGAGTCGGGTGTTATTAAACACCGGGAACTTCCCAGATCTTCAATTTCCGGGCGTGGTATGCGGCGGTTTGTTGCGACAAGTCGAGACGAGGGAAGCAACACACACGAGGTCAAACGAGGAAATCGCCGACGAAAGAATTGGGGTTCCAAGGGAATATCAGCCTGGCTGCGGGGGAGAAGTTGGTAGGATAGCAACAGCAGCGGATCCGGTGAATGCTGCTTTCCCAGATGGAATGAAGGCACTTAAGGGGGTGGGAATAATGGAAGCAGGGACCAAGAAAATAGGATAAATAAGGATTATCACATAGTAAGTATATTAAAGGTCAACGAAGTGTAGGAAGGGTCGTAGTAGTTATAGAAAGTAAGTAGTAGTGACAGAAGAATGGAAGATGAGGTTCTGGGTATAGATTGCAATAACTTAGGTTGCAAGTACAACCAGTTATAAAAAGGTATTATATCTCAGGTAATTCAAAGGGCAATTGAGACGATCATAAAGGAAAGTCAAGAGAGTTAATTTAGAACCAAAAAGGAAATCAAAAAAGAAAAAAAGTGAAGATGGAAATGAAATAAATAAAAAAGACCTTGGATGGATAGAGAGGCCATAGAGGAGACGGAATCAATTGAATAAGGCCGAATAATGAAAATAAAAATAAAAATCAGGAAATTAATAAAAAATAAAATAAAATAAAAAGTAAAAGAAAGGTACTAATAATGAAGGATGAAGTCAAGACATCATCCTCCATCCAGCAAATGGCTAATCATCTTCAGAGCAACTCCGCTAGAGGAGCCAGGGTAGGCTAGTTCTCGTCCGGAGAAAGTGCTGTGCCCATACAGGATAGACAGAGTTTGACCCGGACGCAGGTCCAGAGGGTTGATCCTCCTTTCTGGCCTCGTTTGGGTCGGTTCCGGTTTGGCTGCCCGGGTTTGATTGTCTCTGCTTTGTCTTGAAGAGAATGAAATACCGGTTGATGTCAGAGCCACGGGGAGGGGGGGGGGGGGGGGAAAAAAGGGGATGCATGCTACGGAGTAGTGGAAGGGTAACAAGGTCAGCAGCCCTAGACCAGATTCAGCGTTAGGTTCTAGTGTCTATAGGTCATTTTACTGGTCCAGGGAGGGAGAGAGGGGGCTTTTTTTTCGCCTTTGGGAGAGTAGAGAGAGTACTAAGAGAGGGGGGAGCGAAAAGGAAGAGGGGTGGAAGTTCGGACAGCACCTCGCGCGGTCTTGGAATAATACGTGCCTGCTAACTCCGTAGGACCCATATCAGATCCAATAATAAGTCGGGTTTAGCGTCGTATTGCAACCGTCGTGGTGTGCCGCCCAGATTGGTCTTGCTTTTGGTTTATTTTCCTTTTATTTTTTTCTTTCGCTTTCCTATTTTTGCTTTTTTTTCCACTTCCCTCACCCTGATTAGCTACTCACACCTGAGCATACTTAGTGTTTACTTATGCGTCTCCCGTTGCAGTTGGTCTTTCTATTCTAACTAAAACGGATCAAGATGCAGTAATCATCCTGAAAGCCACAGGAAGAGGTCCTTACAACTACTACTATTACTATAGCAAAAAGCACCGATCGTAAAAGGAATAAAAAAATAAATAGGCAGAAGTGAAAATGTATTTCTCATGGAACTTCAAATAAACCAAACACAAAATAAGAAACCCACCCCCGAAGAAAGAAAAATAAAAAATTAATGATGCTGATGTAAATGAAATAGGAAGGAAGAATTAGGAAACGGAAAAAGGTAAAAAGATATCTTACACCAAGGGAGAAGGGGTGGGCATTGCTCAGCAGCCCCCGGGAGGCACGGGAGAGAGAGTGGACGAAGGGAGGTTTGTGCACTCTGAATGTGGTTGATCGCCAGTTCTAGTTCAACCAGGCGGAAGGCAAAGGAATGAAAACTTTCGGTACGGAATCGAACACTGCCTTCTGGTTGCTGCGTAATAATCAAACAATTCATACGGCATCCTTCCCGAAAAGCGTTAGCGTGCCCCCTTCACCTCATTAAAGTGCGCAGCAACTTGAGCTGGGGACAGGCAGGAAAAGGGAGGGGAGAGCAGAGCAGAGCAGAGCAGAGCAAAGAGGAGAGAGGCAGGCGGGGAGCATGGAATTATGGATCGCTGCGTACGGCAGCCGTAAGAGGGTCACGGTGGCTAAAACAGTTCTAGTTAGTCCGTGGTTGGTACTGGAGGTTGGTGGTCACTACGGCGAGGCTTGCTTAGATTGGAGATTGGAGCATCCGCGAGGTGGTCAGTCACTTACTTAGTAAGGCGCCAGGCAAAACGCAAAAAAAGTCAAACGTTCACTTGCCGGCAAGGCGGTGCTTACCTAGTGAGGTAGTGATGGCAAGGATACCTTAGTTACTCTGCAAAGTAAGTCTGGTACCGGGTTCAGCTTTGGGTGGCTCGGGTTGTCATGGACGAAATGAAGTAAGTTATGTGCCAAACGTACTACGTACGTACATCCTTACAAGACAACTCTCGCACAACTCTCTCACTTTACTTACCTCGCCCGTGTCAAGTATGGAACGGGTCCGAAAAGATTGGGAGGTATGAGAACAGACTAAGTGGTTGGGCAGTCTGGTTGCAACTAAACTCGAAGTGGATTAACCCCTCCGACCCAGACAGGTAAGAGTTGCTCCGACGTATCGGTATTACCGATATAGTGTTTCTCCGTCGTGGGCACACACACCACACACACACGCCCGTCATCACTACTAACTAACCGGTCCATTTTGGACAATTTTGGGAAAACCTTAGCATAGGACGATATGTTAGTCTGGCCATTTATCCACTCGCTGTGTAATGAGGGGGCCAAGGCAAAATGTTGCGTATCCATCATGTAGGCATGTAAGGCATGTGTGAGTACGAGAATTGGATGGATAAGCTGCACACAACGATCCAGAGAGGCGTAATGAACTGAGAGACCAATCATCGGAGGAGAAGCAAATGGCCGGGCTCCATCGATCTGTAAACACACAGCCAATCACTGTGGGCCTGAGCCTTTCCACTCTGAATGGTTTGAGCCTGGAGAACTGGAGAACAAGGTGTGCTCAAGAAGCCACCCACACACACCCACACACACACCCCCGTACCTTAGGCAGAGAGCCGGAGGGCAGCTGAGACTGAGAAGGGAGCCACTCGCTAGGTACCACTAAGTTGGGCTCGGCAGCACCAGAAGCAAGACGCGCCCCCCCTTGTGACTTGACTTGTTGACTGCCGGGCCTGTTCTCTTTTCCCAAAGATCCTTCCAGTTAGTACTAGCGGACATATGCGATAGTTGTAATGGAATAATGAATAGGTAATGGTGGATGACCGCGGGGCCAACCCGGAGACTCCTGCGACTCACTTGCTGCGGACAGTGCCACATAGTAACATACCATACCTTATCCACCGCCCCCCGGGGCGATGGATGAGGGTGAGTAGTCCGTCGTCCGTAGTGGTGGTAGTATTCTAGTGAGAGTCATGACCACTTTTACCAGATGGTTGTAGTAATTATCCACATGCAGACACCACCCGTCCAATCCGCGAAAGGGCACCACCAACTCTCGCCTGCGCCTTTTCCAGGTTCCTCTACCCCCTTCTCTGCCGTCATACTCCGCCCGGCCGTAATGTTCCGTGTATGGACCGAACCATGAAATTGGGCGCACCGTTTCTGTGTTCTTCTACGAGCCCAGAAAAGTACTCCCTTTTACCGTAGCAACTTACTTAGTCTCCAGCAATGAAATCCGATCTGGCCCATTCGTTGTTTCCGCCACCGGTTTGCAGCCACTGCGATGACTCGGTTTCGAGATGATAGGGCGCCGCTTGCTGGTCATTCCCGGCAGGCCAGAAAAAATAAATCAAAGTAAAATAAAATCATAATACAAAAGTGTAAAAAAAAAAAAAAAAAAAAAAAAAAAAAAAAAAAAAAAAAAAAAAAAAAAAAAAAAAAAAAAAAAAAAAAAAAAAAAAAAAAAAGGAGAACCCACCCACTTGGCCAAGGACCCATGCAGGCGCAGGCGGCTGTTGATTTGGCTTTCTTTTCTTTTCTGTACATCCTGTCAGCTGCTCGTGTACGTCCTTTATTATTGTCATTGACTTTTGCCGAAAGGAGGAACCCTATCATCCATGGTTTGATATCACCCACATTTGCGCAGATATCCGCGGCAGTACGGAGTAGTCCTGAAACTAACAATGGGAGGGGGGTGCGTCGCTTGATCCAAGACAACATTCACACCATCCATCTTACCACTCCAGGGTCCCCTAGCATTGGGTGAAGGACGCTAAGTCCCTCCTTTGGTGGTCTCCAGGCCAGGAGAGCAGAATGAAGTAAAAAAAAGAAAAAAACACACTACCACTGCCGAGTAGTGCCAAACTACTACTTACTATTACTCACTGATGAAGACTTGCCATACCATGGCTCGATGCAAACAAGGGGAAGAATGAAAAAGGAGAAAAGTCCCTTGTAACACCGGCCGGTCGCACTTCCGATCACACTCTTTAATGTATTAGTCTTGCAAGTTGCGTCAATCAATATTATGTTCCGCAAATGGTACGAAGTATGCAGAGACCAGAGTGGGATGCTCGGGGCGAAGACAGGATGGAGTCCGACATGGAGAAGTTGCTGTATTATGGTTGGGACCATCATGGGGTGATTATGGAACTACTAGTGGCGACCAGGACAAGAGCTCTCTTTTCCTTCGTCCGACTTGTTGGCTGGCCATGGGTCGCGGAAACGCGCCATTGCTTCGAATCATTCCTGCCCGGCACGCGCTTCGAGTATAATTAGTAGTATTATTGACATTGATTATGATTTCATATACCTCGTACCGCCCGATGATCAATAATAGTTGGCGGCTGAGTATTAATCTGTGTCTCATCTTGGGCCACTTCCGGACGCGTCTCGTTTCTGCGTTCGGGGCGAGCTGACTTCGGGGTCTGATTGTCGACCGATGGCCCTCGAACTTTAGCTAGCTAGTAGCCTTGTGCGCGACGATTATCAAAGAGTCAAGTCACGGAGGCTTTCCTATTCTTTACCTCGAACCCGAACAGGTTGGGGAATGACCATCCATATCGTTTGTCGCTAGCGTAACGATCGTTACCTCTCCCTGTGTGAAGTAGTGACTCTAGTTAGTTTCTTAGCAGGTGCAGCACCGTCGGAGGACTTCCCTCCCTGTCCCTAGACTGCCGTAGTAGTGTCTTTCTATTTTTCTTTTACCCTTTCTCCATTATCCACACACACCCCCCATGCACGTACTACTAAAGTTCAGGGGGGGGGGGGAGAGTAATCCAAATCCAAATCTGATAGTTCAAGCATGGCGTTGAGAGAGTGCAAGGCCACAAGAGCAGATCAACTGAGTTGATTGATGGGGATGCGCATCCAGTCCAGCAGGCTCCAAAGGCCTCTCTCATTCGCTCGGCCATCCAAGTGCGGCTAATGATCAACCCCCGCCGCCCCTTGGAAAGACTGGGACTGGAAAGGAAACGAGCAGAAACCAGGCCTCTCCAATCTCCATCCGCCGAGATTCAGAGGGAAAAGGACCGAACGTGTCCCGAGTAGTATGACAATCTCATCCTAGGAAACGTGACAAAAAGGGAAATGGCAACAGGCGCATTTCCTTTTTGTTGGAATTAATGGGACGTGAATCCCTGTCTAGATTTGGAGAAACACTATGGTTGGTTGGTGGTGTCTTGGACGGACTTTGATCTGATCATCAGTCCCAGAGTACTACTGTGTACCAGACTTACTTGACAATACGGTGGCCATCGGTTACTATCCATAGGTACCCTGCAGATGGGCTTCACATATGCCTTGCAAAGGAAGGATTCGTGCGTAATTAATGTTTGGCACCACAATATGATCAAAAGGCCCGGGCAATGATATTGCTTCGTCGGGCGAAATCCGCCTGGGATTATGGATTGATTGGCATTGTTGCGGAGCTCGTCCATACTTGTGGCTATAATCTTACCGAATCATATCGACTGTGTTCCATACTTCAATAATATAATGATGAGCGAAACTTTTGACAGCGCTCCATCTGCTACCCATCGGGAGCTGATGAATAGTTTGGTTGATTCGTATTTTTCATTGATACCTGCAAGCAGAGAGGTTAGTTGTCCCCAGTCACATCATTTTACCATCATCTCTAAAATCACCACGACAATGCCAACTGGGGATCGACCGCAGATGAATTTGCGAACGGAATCAGATGATGCTCCATAGGTTGGATGGAATCCTGATGACGACTCAAACCAACGCAGGTGAAAATTGGCGAAGATTTGGCAAGAAAGGGAAAAAAGCAACTGGAAACTGCACGCCACTCAATGCCGATAATGAAAGAGTGAAAGACTGATAACGTCTGGTCGCGGTGTATGTGGAGTAGTATCTACAATAGGGTGCTGTTTGGGTCTCGTATGGAGATTCGGAGTAATCCCAAATAGTAAGTAGTCACTTTAGTAGTAGCAATATGTTGTGTAGAACCCCTGATCTTTTCCCTTTGGCGCTTCTTGCACTTTTCCTGCCTTTTTTGGGTGGGTTTCTAGGTTCCTTCTTCAACCTTCTTTTCCGAAAATAGTCGGTCAAGTCCGCGTCGCCATAAGAAAGCACCGTAGGTAGTGATAGCTCCATAGGAAACCTCAACAAATGCATGGACGCCTCTCTGCACTTGCATATGAAAGTATGCCGCTCTGCATTCCAATTGGTATCACAGCCACTAGTTAGAAGTCTGGATAATCGCGGGCTATTCATTTGAGATGGGGGGAAGAAGGGGGGGGAAAAGATGGGTAAACCATCGAATCAGAGCGCCCGAGTGTACATGCTCTTGGTCTGTGTTCCTTTTATTTTTGCAGCCTGGCTTTCTGGGTCATCACGACTCAAGCGCGATACGGTGTAACAAATAAACAGAGTGGGTTTTTGGTGTTCCAGAACTTCCGGCAGAAAAAGGTGATGATGGGCTGGATGACGGTGTTGGAATTGGTCGTGGCTATTTCTGAGCTGGGAAATAAGTGGCATGCACGCTCCACTTGGATTGATCAGTGCAAAAAAAGAGTACCTAGACTACTTTGGTACGAAGATACTAACTGACTGTCTCTCCTCTCTCCTCCCCATCCCATCCTCGATTAGTCCACCAACCCCGACCTTAACTTCCTCACTAATTCACTAAGAAGATGACTCCGGCCCCCTTCGCTTTTTCAGTCTCAAACCTTCAAGGCCCATCCGGCATCCAGAATCCAGATGCGAAAAACTGGGGCTGGTGGGAATCCTTGGGTCGTTTTGTCACCCGAGCACTCGGGCGCAGCGACGGGCACAGGCAACTAATTGTGCTAAACGAACAAACGGGGGTGGTTGACGCGGCGATCGAAACTTGAGAGTGAGGCCATACTGGGTAAAAGAAAACTCTCCAGCCTTCAACATGAAGCCCCATAGTTAGTTATACGCTGCCCTTGGAGGATCTGACATAACTCGGGTAAACTGGTGGACTTGGACTTCCAAGACTACTGTGTTCAGTGTTCACAGTATCCACTGAACTTCTTGGTCATTGCTCGGAAATAGTCGATGACTATGGAGCTGCTGCTCAAGTATAGTCCCTTTGTAAGCCAAACAGTAATATGCCAGAGTTAGGAAGTCGTTGAGTCTTCCGAACACCCTCTCAGACACCGACCACCACCAGCTTAAGCTTTTTTCCTTTTCGGACCACTAACTCTTACATTCATTATTATTTTTTCCTTTATTATTTACTTTTTCGTTATATTCTTTTTTCTGCTGATTGTCCTTGCCTTGGCGCCTGTCGAATCTTGCCTCGAACAAATTCATCTCCCTAAATGGCCATTTTGGGTTCAATGGATCTCCTGCCCCTTCTTGCAACTAACCTTGTCATTAGGCCGAACATTCATCTCAACCAGATATCTGGACCAATGATATCCACTTCTACAGGTGCTGTCATCTGCCGATGAGACGCGAGAAGAGCGCAGAAAATGAAAAAGGAAGCTCTCAAGCCTATGGTCATTAGTGCTACGTATTAGCCATAACGCATCGTAAAGTCGCAAGTCAAAGTGCCTTGATGATGAGCCAACGAATAAAGGCTCACTTGCCATGGCACATGTCCACCCACTTATACTACTACTACCTTGCTATATTCGAGTGTACATCCAATGTCCGGTTGCGGTAGAGAAGCCGAGGTGGTCACCGCCAGAATTGTCCATCACAACACCAGAGTAGATAACTACTTGCTACGGATGTCGCTTCTGCAATCCGAACAGCACTAAAGCAGCAGAAGCAGCTACTGCTGCTGGTATTCACTAAGTGCCAAGGAACCTTCCTGGTCGCCTGTTGCCAGCAAGTACTTACTACCTTTACCCGGCGCTCTAGACGATGTGACTTTGTCACTACCTAACCAGGGTTGTCTCAGCATCATCCAGTTCGAATGTGGACCTAACCGCTTCCACCACTTCCGCTGATCTAGATCATCCCTATTAATCACATTATCATTATTCAATATGATGATTGAAGTAATCCTCTTTTTTTTTTTCTCCTCCCTCTCCCTCTTGAACTATTCTGGTCATTCCTGTGGTACCCTGGACGGTGGTTCCGTTTCCCGACAGACTATGCACGTTCATTCGTGCAGAGGCCGCAACCAAATTCCTTCGATCCTGAACCGCCTTGGAAAGCCATCGGCCTTCCTGATCGAGAAGGTATCTGGTCATCAATGACGAGGATAATGACGGCTCCAAGTGGTCATACTTAATTACACAGAGTGCAGCCTAGTACAACACCAGCAAAAATGCATCCGATGCACATTTACCCTGTTCATCCGAGGTTCATTGTTCGTGATCCTCGTTAACCCACCGGTGGTGAGTCTTCGTTGTGTATGGGGGGGTCTCTTAACTTTCCGGGATCCCCTCCTCGACCACACAATCATTGGGTGAGATGGGCCTTGATTAGCATCTCGCGGTGTGTTGTCGAAAAAGTCGAAAGATAGTATTAGGATGCCTACGAGAGAAACAGATCGACACTGTCGAACATTATTAATGGGGTCGACAGTAATAATGGTTACTCGTCCTTGTACCGCGCGGCCCCGACTTGCGAATTGATTGCAGGAAACGTCCGGATTACCCAGCATCTCGCCCTCATTAATAAGGATGGTTAGATAACTAACTATGCCGCGACTGTGGTCGGGACTAATTCCAGTCTTCCTTCATGACTCGAATTGACCTAGTATATTGCATGAACTGGCTTGGCCTATCACTAGGTGGACTGGTCGGATAACGAAACTCCTCGGAGATTTTCTTATCACGCAAGTCGCCTGGATGGTGCCGCTCTAGCCCGTGGGTTGTCATTCCTATCCCCAGTTTTCATCACCTTGCACCTTCAATGTGTCCACGAGTGATCGCATCACCGGACTGTGTCAGGATAAAAGGGCGTACGCAAGGACAAGTCCATAATTCGGAGATTTGCTCGGTACTGAAGATGAGCATTTTTTTGGGCCCGTCCCTTCCCACCTTGCTGCCCTTCCAGGCTCCTTGCATCTACTCATCCTTGCGGCTCGATACTTTCTAAACAGCTAACATTGTGGAGGGTAAACAAACAATCCTCATGGGGAGGGATAAGCATGATACATCGCAACCACCGTGCGAGCTGATACTGCAGCTTAAGCTTTCATCTAAGCCAGGCATGTGTGCAAGCTTACTGCTGGCGACCGACAGGCATGACTGCTACGTGCTCTTCAAAACCAAGGACCTCGTCGTAGTCGAGACTCGACATCCCTTCGTTCTCCCTTGAAGGCGCCGTTGGACAGGCAGCGGTTGCTCCGGTTCAGTATGAGACGAGACCAACAATCCTTGCTCATGTTGAGCCACCATCGGCCACGGCCCAAAGTCAACATGAAGGTTCGAATGCCGCCATCGTCAGTCTGACTTTCGATGCGAGGCATAGACTACATCGTAGATTGCAACTTCTGAGGAACCAGGGGAACGCATCCGGTGGTCTGATTTACAAGCCGCCTGCAAAACAACCCTTATTCCTTCAGAATCCCGGATTTCGTAATCGTGATGAAGGTGACGATGATGATGAGCATACTACCAAGTAGAGCTCCTCAAAGATGGGGGAGGCGGCATACTGGATTGGTCAAGCCGAGGCTGCTCAGGAAGCACGCGGCTTATCGTATGCTGGTCGACTTGCCGCTACGCGACCGTACTTGATGATTAGCAATAAGCTCAGCGATGACCATTCGACAGATGGCTAGCTCAGCAGAACTTGATATCACCGTTTGCCTCTCGCGGTGGAGGCCGTCTTTTTTTTTGCGAGATCCATCACGATCACGAAGTCAACATTATTTACGGAGGCTTTGGCGGCATGTGCACCAGATGCATCCGTCGTAGCCACTGGAGCCTGAACTCAGCTAGGGTTCATCGCCCCGTCAAGGTTCCTCATTCGGGTTTTTGTTCGCACTCTTGCCTCGCTCCCATGCTCGCTGAAGATTGTCTGGATCGGATACCATTATGGGGAAGTATCGGAAGTTGGGGACTACGTATGTACGGCCTGAAACCTTCCCCGCCGGACTAAATCGAGGTCGTAGAATTTTGTTCACCAATAATCGTGCTACTTTAAGTGGCAAGCCTCGTTTCTGTCGGGTCTTACTTTACGGCCTTGCCTTGGGAAGAGTATCTATACCGTATGCTACAGTACCACCTGAGAAACCCTCCATGGAGACACCACACATACCCTTCTTTCACCCCCAACTTACACTACGCCAGCTGAACGAACATCTCCCAAAAAATTAAGGAAATGATGTATCGATCTCTTCTGTTGGAGTCAGTCCTCCCTTACGAAACTCGTCTCACCATCAGACCTTCATCCACCCTGGAACCACACATCCCTAGCAACGGCATACCGTTCACCAACATCCGTCCTTCGTTACTTCTGTCTAGGTAGAGTTACCTTCTGCGAAATCATCCACTTTTTTTACTCTCCGTGGCAGCAGTCTCCGCTCCACGCAAGAAGAAAACAAGCCGGGAGGGACACTGAGCCACCGACAACTTCTTACCAACCCTGTTGGTAGCGTAGTAAAAGTACCAAAATCTCTTGCCCCTGGTTCATGGAACAGGAAAGATAGTACGTATTCCGATCTCTCACCCCTGCCACTAACAGAAGGACTATATACCGGTCTCAGTACTATGATCTGGATTCTTCCCCCCTCCCCTCCCCTCACCTCCCCTCCTCTACCCACACTCGATGTCAATGCCACAGCGACTGCTGCGGCTGCTCTACATACTCGAGGGAGGGGTGTTCTTAACCCAACCCGGAAATACCCATCGCATCCATCCATGACCCCCATGCGAACGTTTATCATCAGGAATCATTAATCAATTAGTTTACCAACCACCATCCATCCAGTAAATGACCTAATTAATCACACCTTTCGCTGGTGCATCAGATGCTGCGATCGTCGCTTTCTGAGATGCTGCTGACCGCGTCTGTGGGCACCTTTTCCCATTCCTGCTCAGATGAATTGGACTCAGCCGGTTGTTATCAGCTAGCTGCTTGCTGGCTTGGAGTCAAAAGTAGTTAGCCCTGGACACGTTGGCTGTTGAACACTTACCAGTCAGTGCCTTGGTCTCTTTCCACGCTTGTTCAATTCTAGACCATGTGCTCGGATTACTTATGCGTATTGTTTACTTGCTTTGTATGTATTATCATCAGTCCGACCTAGTTAGTTAGTTAGTTCAAGCTTGTAGAACAGGGCAGGGCAGAGAGTTAGTTGACTTGTTCCTCAACTAACTTGATCTCGATAATGATAACGATGGATGTTAATTTACCCTAAACCTTGGAAGTCTGGACTATACAGGTTTGCATATACTCACTTACACAGGTCCGTGAGACCCTCACGACCCTCTTAATCAGTCTTATCCAAGTTCAACACGGCCACCACCCCATGCATTATTCCCATACGAACATATGTACAATGTACATCCCCTTTCTCAGCGCTAGAGCCAACTCGAGAGATGAATACCTCGTGATAGAGAACCATCAGAAAGCAGAAAAAGCAAACAACCAATTTGAAGAGAAACAGCAAGGCCAGAACTTGAAGAAACAGCTGCCTGACAGACAGCCTCGCAGGACCAACAGTAGACCACTGCACCCATAACAGGGATAACATACATACATGTGCTTACTCGTTACCTCACTTCTCCTTGTGGGTGGGTTTGTTGATGTCTGCCTTGAGTAGGTACGGATTATGTGTCTGGCTTTTGGTTATGTCTACCTTACATTGTATCATCATCATGATTACTTCTTTATTTTCATTGCCTACTGCTCCTTCTCATTTCATAATGTTGGAATGGGTTGAGCGGTGATGCCTGAGTTACATAGAACTATGGACTAATGGATATGATTCGATGGCAGTGTCGGCCGGTATTACTGTATACTACGTAAGGCTATGTATGGATGCCAGGTAGCTGGCTGGCTTGCTAGCTAGCTAGAAAAGCAAGTATGTGGCTTTGACTAGCTTCCATAAGGCATATGTTCCGTTTTGTTCTTTGTTCGTTGTCGATGGATGATGATGATTTGCATCTGGTTATTGGCTATAGCGTGCCATATTGTGAATTGGACGGATGGATAGGCAGTAAGTGTCCACTAATAAACTAGTTGGTTTCCTGTCGACTTCACACTGCTTCATTACCATTAATACTATATCATAGACAGACAGTCTGTGTTATTGGTGGTTGATGTGTAAGTACAAGCTTACTTGGTTTATGCTGAGCTGGGCTGGACAGGGCTGGGTTGGGCAGCTTTATGTTGATAGGTCTGTCATAACTGTTTGTAGTGTATCTTGTTGTGAACACCGTAGACATAAATTGTGTAATCTGTTTGGTTATGTCTAATATAGAAAGGAAAAAACTAGGTGAAGGTTGAGGTAAGATATCCTAGTATCTATTTGTACCACTAATGCGTGCACGCTCACTACTCTATATATATCGATAGTAGTTTTATATTAAACAGCAGCGGGATGGGTAACTAAGAATGTATAACTTATCTTAGCTACCAGGTACAAGTGGATCAAACTGATGTGTCCACTTGTTTGCATATATATGATTAGCTAGATGTACTTCGTAGTACTATCAACATACACTAGTAGGCTTATATTCATAGATGCTGTCTATGGTGTCCCTGCACATGAGCGATAGATAGTAATTTACAAATACTACATAACAGTCATTTTAATATACTTACTATGAGGTTTATATGATTTCTGTGTTTATATATCGATGATATATATATATATATTATCGTATCAAAATGTCCACTTGTAAACCTGTTCCTCGCTGATTTCCATACTAACAGGATCATCGATACTTCAATACGGTTTCCAGGACTCAGTGGAAATCCTAATCTTATATGATACAAGAGCACGGGGGTATCTTAGAGAAAAAAAAAAAAAAAAAAAAAAAAAAAAAAAAGAGTCCTATTCAACCCAAATTAGCTGCTCTCCTGAGATAAGTATAGAAAAATAAGCAGTGCTATGTATACTAGCATCAGGACACACTATATATAAACAAAAACAACTCACCTTAATAGTACTACATATTCTGAGAAAGTACTTAGTACAATATTCATACAGTAACTATCCATATAATCATCCATCAACCTTGAAGTTCAGATACACCGAACCCGACTACTACAACATATTAACGCACTATCCAAGATTCTATAGCTTTTTACTCATACCGTGAGACTTTTCCATCAGGGTGGTACCCTGTCCTAGCAAATTAACGTATATCTACACGATATATGTCTTATCTGTGTGAAAATGTCAGCTGGTTAATCCTCGACGGCTGATATGATGATTAATGATACGTAGGAGAATATATATATGCATATAATAGTATAGTATACGGCGTAGCTTCGTATTTGTAGTGAGGCCGTGCCTTTCATGCTGCGTTCAAAATATACTGTCTAGTATATATATTCTGTAGTCCCTGGTATTAGTAGAGTCAACTGACGATGCTACTAGATAACATACTTTAAAGAAGCTACATTCTAACTCCTGCTGTTTGATTTAATGATGAGGCAATTAGACATGACTAACAAGATGTCTTGATATATATATGTTACAAACTCCATGGTGGAGGAGAAACGCCTCAGAGGATGAAGAGGTGAAGGTCTTATTCGTTGTAGCATGCTCATAGGGAACTGATTGATGCTTTGAGAATTGAATTGGTAGGTAGAAAGACGTTAAAATGTATTGGTCCCATGATAGATAGTATGTAACGCGGACTAGTTGTATCATAGTAAAGTTCTAAAAGAAATGATCCTTCTTCCTATTAATCGAGGATTAAGTCTATTGTTATATTTGGTACTGTATAGGTGATTGTTATAGAACGAACACTTCTGTATTCATACATTTAGTAGTAAGAATGAGTTGCCGGAACTGAGAAGGATATGGGCCATCCGGAATGGGAGTGTCTCTAGGATAGACCGCGTATCATGGTATGGAATGATTGCTGTCGGTCACTCAGTGCATCACAAACTTCAAGGAGGTGCCTATATATGCGTTTCACATATACTTCTGCAATAAAAGGTGACTTACAACCATACAGGTCGTTATTGTTACTGTATGCAGGTTAGTTGCTGCTGGAAGGTCCTAGACCGGACCAAAGTTTCCACAAAAGTCGAACCATATACGCAATTATACAGTCTGCATAGCGCTTCATGCTTGCTCCTTGCATTATACAACCTCTCACATCAGCTCCCCTCTATGACCTACCAACATATGCATGTAAGCCACTGGAAATCGGACAAACAGCAGGGATAGGGTTCGGCATTGTGTCCGGACAAGACCTAAAGATGGGTACCCAATAACCGCCGAGGTGGCTTGTGGTTGTACAGATACAACTGCACATGCTCCTAGTTTGATCGCCGACTGACAAGCCAGATATGTTGTACGTGAGACAATTGTACTACATGCTCGGAGTTGCGGTATGGAGTGCCGAACATCAAGCACACCAGAGCATTTTTGAGGATAGTATGCCCGGGTATATGTTGTGTGCAATGACCAGTCGCCTTGAATCCGTTTGTGCTTGGCCATACCATACCGTGCCTTGTTTATGCGTTCTTTGTATGCAGACCAGGATCGGAGACTCGTCGCCACTGGACAATCGTCGGCGTTACAATGCATTGAGGTAGTCGTTACGTCGAAGATCGCCAAGGGAATGGTCGCTTCTTCCATTGGTGTGCCCCTTACTGAACGGGAATACTTTATCTGTTTACCAAACTGTTAGCTAGACTGGGCCAGTCTTGAACTGCAAATCGAACAGCAGCCGATGGTTCAAATGGAAGCACGTCATGAGCGAGAGTCTCTGGCAAACAAGCCTTGGGGTAGAGTGTATTGTAGGTGAAGTTTCCAGAGGACATAATGATCCGTCTCCCTTATGATCGAGGTGTTTATCATCCTCTAGCCGTACACTCTTGACTCATGTTGGCTCCAGTTATCTCCTGCTAGCTGGGCCTGATTTCAACGCGGATTCCAGGAACCCCAGATAAGTCCTTATTGGTCGGTTCGAATATCGTGCAAGCGTCTGACGGGAGCATGAGATAGAAGCCGCGACATTCGATACTGCACGCAAAGTTGAAAAGATGGGCAGCATTGGCTTGGGAGGGCAGGATCTTGCAAATTCCGGCAAGAACCGACCTGATCGAGGCAACCGCTCTTGTGGGTATGTGGGTCAAAAACAGCACAACGAGGCCATAGCAATCTGGCCTGATAGCATCTTAGCCGCACCACAATCAGCCCAGGCGTGTATGATCGACCGCAACCACGGGAATTAACGGACTTGGGGATGGATTTGAATGGAGGGAAACGGGCGATTGAGGAAAAGTGGAGCATCAGAATCCCCGGATTCTCCTCGTTCTTTTGGTTTGGAGCTTAGAGGCCAGTGGTGGAGTGACAGAAGTGGATGTCAAACGACACTGGGGATTCTCTAGTCGTTCTAGATGCGGGAGAAGCCGGGGAGGATCTCGGGAAGGACCGTGTGTTCCAGCTAGACGGGTGACGGAAGAGTCAGCGACGCAGTGGTCCAGACCGAAAAAGGAAAGCACAATGGGCGACAGAATCAGGAAAGAGCGGGCGGGAATGCATGGAGGAGCTGCAGGAGAATAAATAATTATACGGAATAGATAGAGAATAGTTAGGGAATAATCAGTGGATCATTCAATATTCCATCTTGCCTATCATTTCATCGGGAAGAAGAAGGAGTGATCCATCTAATCCCGAGCAGAAAGACAATGACGGAAACATTTTTAAACTCCAGTATACAATCGTCATTCATAATCGATGAGTGATGTCTAGACATTACCAGCTGCTTAGGGTAAATGTTAAAATAAAAGCCTCAAGAATGATTATGCCTCAGGAAGGGAAGTGTGTTTTCCCCTCACGCCTAATTTCTCCCCACTAAGTAATCTTTTCCCCTCACGCAACTATTCTCCCTCCTCTCTCCAATTTTTTTTTCCTCATCTCCAACCCGCCACATGTGAAATAAATGGGAAAATAGTCTCTATACCCAAGCAGGAATGAAAAATTCTTTAAACTAGTTTTTTTTCTTGCTTTCCACTGGAACCCGGCTGACCGAGCACCCACTTGGTTTACGGTCGAGCCAGTCGCGTCTGGTGCCAGAAGGAGAAAATTAGCCGCCCTGCGATCCCCAGCCAGAGCACACCGATTCGCCCAAAACAGCTAATTGACACAGTCATTTTTTCCTGTGCTTTGCTTAACGCCGGTGATTTTTCCAGTGGGCGAACCCTTTATCCAGACTTGGGCGTTCAATTTCTCTGAATCACTTCTTTTCCTCTTACTCTTCTCTTTCCCACCCACTCTCCACTCTCCCCTCCTTCCCCCTAACCCTTCGCCTTTTGGCTCAGGTGCGACTACCGCCCGACAATGGTTGGAAGTACGCTGGCGATCCGCTCCAAGATGGCCTCTCCCTCCGCCGCTATGCAGTTGTCGTCGCTGTCGCGCAGGTCGCTCTCGACGCGACCCCAGATCCTTCGCTCCGCACGTCCCTTGAGACAGCAGCAATTCCAGCGCTCTGCTCGTCGCTCCTACGCCGATGCTGCGCCCGCTGCCCCGACCCCCAAGCCCAAGAAGCGCTTCAGGTTCTTGCGCTGGACCTGGCGTCTGACCTGGCTCTCCACTATCGGTGCCGCCGGTGCTGTGGCCTACAGTGTCTATGAATTGCGCCATCCCGCCGAGCAGATCAAGCCTGATCCCTCGAAGAAGACCCTTGTTATCCTGGGTAGGTTTATTGTACCCTGTGTCGCTTATCGTGACACGATCGCGGCCGACCAGCAACTTACGAGTTATTCCCCAATCAGGTACCGGATGGGGTACTGTTTCCCTACTGAAGAAGCTCGACACTGAGAACTACAATGTTGTCGTCATCTCTCCCCGCAACTACTTCCTTTTCACTCCTCTCCTCCCCTCCTGCACGACTGGTCTGATTGAGCACCGCTCCATCATGGAGCCGATCCGTAACATCCTCCGTCAGAAGACCGCCCACGTGAACTTCTACGAAGCCGAAGCCACCAAGATCGATTACGAGAAGCGTGTCGTGTACATCAGCGATGACTCTGAGATCAAGGGAGACATCTCCCACACCGAGGTGCCCTTCGACATGCTCGTCGTTGGTGTCGGTGCTGAAAACGCAACCTTCGGTATGTGAATTAATGCTTACGCCCGCCACGGATCGTACACTAACGATAACTAGGTATCCCCGGTGTCCGGGAGAACTCCTGCTTCCTGAAGGAGGTCGACGATGCCCAGAAGATCCGCAAGCGCATCATGGACTGCATCGAGACTGCTATGTTCAAGGACCAGACTGAAGACGAAGTCAAGCGTCTTCTCCACATGGTTGTTGTTGGTGGTGGCCCGACTGGTGTCGAGTTCGCCGGTGAGCTGCAGGACTTCTTCGAGGATGATCTGAAGAAGTGGGTTCCTGAAATCCAGGAGAACTTCAAGGTTACCCTCGTTGAAGCTCTTCCCAACGTCCTTCCCATGTTCTCCAAGCAGCTTATCGACTACACCGAATCGACCTTCAAGGAGGAGAAGATCTCTATCCGCGCTAAGACTATGGTCAAGAACGTCACCGACAAGTACATCGAAGCTATGGTCACCAACCCTGATGGATCCAAGTCCATCGAGCGTATTCCCTACGGTCTGCTGGTCTGGGCTACCGGTAACGCTGTTCGCCCCGTTGTCCGCGATCTGATGAACCAGCTCCCCGCCCAGAAGGACTCGCGTCGTGGTCTTGCTGTGAACGAGTACCTCGTCGTGAACGGCGCTGAGAACGTCTGGGCCGTTGGTGACTGTGCTATCACCAACTACGCCCCTACCGCCCAGGTTGCCAGTCAGGAGGGTGCTTTCCTTGCCCGTCTCTTCAACACCATGGCCAAGACCGAGGCTATCGAGCAGGAGCTGAAGCAGCTGTCTGATGCTCAGGCCCAGGCTAAGGGTGAGGAGCGTGACCAGGTCTTTGACGCGATCCGCGAACGCCAGAAGCAGCTGCGGAGAACCAAGCAGATTGGTCCCTTCCAGTACTCTCACCAGGGTAGCATGGCTTACATCGGAAAGGAGCGCGCTGTTGCGGACATCAGCTGGCTGAGCGGCAACATCGCCAGTGGTGGTACCATGACCTACCTCTTCTGGCGCAGTGCTTACCTGAGCATGTGCTTCAGCAGTAAGTAACCTTGATTCAACTGTATGTTCAATTATATGATGCTAACTGACATTAATTACAGCTCGCAACCGTGTCCTGGTCGCCGTCGACTGGATCAAGGCCAAGCTGTTTGGCCGCGACGTCTCTCGGGAGTAAATCCTTCAATAAAACCTTTGGAAACTGTGTATCACCATCAGCAGACATGCTACGTCCATGATTTCGAAGCGATAACCCTTCTTTTATTATTGAATTCCATCTCTTTCTCATCATTTCTATCTCACCCCCCTTCCTTGACGCTACTCCAATGACCATCCTCTTCCTTGACCTAAATGGGAACCTTTCCCCCATTGTCTGTCACACATTGCTCCGCAGGAGCATATTAATGACGATCAAGAGAGCACACACTACACCAAGACGCTCTGCTGTGATCTATCGCAGCGTCCATAATGGGTGACTCCATAAAAAAGCGCACATAGATCACTTCTTCGACTTGATCATCATTTTATTCGTCTTTTGTTTCTTTTCCCCTGTACGAAATAGATAGACCGGGTTCGGGTTACTGTTTAGACATGCTAGAATTGGCCATAATTCTTTTCTTTGTGCTGTTTCGTTTTTATATTTTCTCAATACATTTTTCTTCTTCTTAACTTTTCCTGTTACGAGTCTTATTCATCCTCTAATAACTTGGTGCTTTTATTCTCTCTTATATATTTTTCGTTTTCATTCCGAAAATGGGTTGCTCGGTTTGGTTCAGTGTATACTCTCCTGTCCTGTGTTGACATTGATATTTGTATTTGTATTTGTATGCTCTTTGGCGGGTTACTGGTCAAAATAATGAATGCCTTATCTGTATCGTGCTATAGAAAAATATTATCCACTCATTCCATCATCTAAACATATTTATTGTACCGAGTGTTAGTGTGTAATATATCAAGTAACTAACGCTATCTGTTAGTCAGCCCTTCTTACATAGGCGCATCACTTAAGTTGTCTAACTGTCAGAGTCAACTGTCAGTGTCGTAGTGGCTAGCAGCTGGTTGTAGTTAGATTCATCACGGGTTACGGATGGATAACGAATGTCTATGTTTTGGAGGAGAACTTTGTGCAAACGCCTACCTACCCTATCCTACCCTTTGCTTGCTATCGTATCAAAGGAATACTCAACTATGAACAAGAAACTGTTCTGTCATGTATGACATACAGGTGAAGGGGAGAGACAGAATGTGTCAGTGAGTGTGAGAGAATATAATGTATACGCTTGCTGTGTGATATAACATGTCAAGAGGTATAAATATAAAGCAGAGCCGAGATATATCGCCGAGCTTTCAGAGAAGACAATATGGGAGGTGGGGTAGACAACAGAAAAGGAGGAAGAGAAAGTCTAATCGATTAATAGGTAGGCCGCTAGGTCGATAAGTAGATTGTTGAATGATTGGTTATTTTTTTTTTCCTTCAAAACAGGTTCCAG